AACAGAAAAGTGAAGACATACTGAGCCTTCTAAGTTAAAAGAAGGTGATTTTGTTGTCGTAAAATTGGCCAGTAAAAAGAATATTGCACACTATGTTGCCAAGGTAGCTGAGGTTTTAGACGACGAATACATGGTCAAATATTTAAAAAGAGTTTTGGAAACAATAAATTTGTCTAATCAGATAAGGAAGCCTCTTGTGTCTCCGAAGGCGACATAATAAAAAAAACTGCCTTTACCAGATTTAGTTGGAACATCACAACGCCAACAAAATATGATGTCCTTTAATGTTAAATTTGATACATACAATGTAAAGTAATCATGTTTGTCATCTTATAATTCATGTAATATAACAAGATTTCGTTATTTTGTGTTGTTTCTTCTCAATCGAAGGTAATTTGTTCTCTGACCACATGTACAACATAATGTGGAAAAAGGTACAACACAGTGTCGTACATTTGGACGACCTGTCAAAAAAATTTTAATGTTAATTGTTAATTGTTAAAGTTAACTGAAACGAATCGATATACATATACTTTGTTATTTATAGATAAAGGTTGTATCTACTTCTGTATGCTTCGATGGTCGCTATAAAGCAATGTTTAAACATTTTGAGCCAAACGACATGAAATTTGCCCAAAGGCACAACACTCTCTTCTAGTCCTTAAACGTTTTTTTAATTATTCTTATTTTGTTTTTTTTTTTAATTTGTGATGAAAAAAGGCAGATAATTGCATTGTGCAAGTTAGATTATGGTATAATTATTTTGATTGGGTTATATGGGGTGACTTTGTACTGAATTCCTTCCAGTTGTAAGTTTACCACTGAAAGAGAGCTTATTACAATGCCCACTGTAATTAATTGCGCTTTGTTTCGATAGATGCAATATTTAATTTAGTGATATTCAAAAATTAGTTATTATGTATACACATATATTTATTTATATATAAAACGCTTTAAACAACAAGAAATTATTTTTGTTTAATAAATATTTTCACCTGAGTTTCTCAAAATTTAGTAGAAATTCTTGTTTGTGGGTTACTATTATACACAATATTAAACCAACAGAGACAACTAAAATAATACATTTTAGCACACTACATTGTTAAATATAGACAGAAGCACTGCATGAAACCCCAGAGAACAATACACCTAGCTTTCAACAAATAGAACTATGAGATAAACTAATAAACTGACGACAAATTCCATCTCGGCTTCTC